TCAAATGGGCCTTAGGAAGTATGAGCAACCACAAAGCTAGTGGAGGTGACAGCATTCCAGCTGAGCTATTCAACATCTTAAAAGATGATGCAGTAAAAGTGCTACACTCAATATGCCAGCAAATTTGGAAAACTCAACAGTGGCTCAACAGGAGTGGAAAAGGTCAGTTTACATTCTGATCCCAGAGAAGGGCAATGCCAAAGAATGTTCAAACTACCACACCATTGCATTCATTTCACATGCTAGCAAAGTGATGCTCAAAATCCTACAAGCTAGGCTCCAGCAGTATGTGGACCGAGAACTACCAGAAGTACAGGTGGGATTTCGAAGAGGGAGAGGAACTAGAGATCAAATTGCCAACATATGCTGGATCATGGAGAAAGCTAGGGAGTTCCAGAAAAACATCTACTTCTGCTTCATTGACTATGCTAAAGCCTTTGATTGTGTGGATCACAACAAACTGTGGCAAGTTCTTAAAGAGATGGGAGTACCAGACTATCTTATTTGGCTCTTGAGAAACTTATATGCAAGTCAAGAAGCAACAGTGAGAACTGGGCACGGAACCACTGATTGGTTCAAAATTGAGAAAGGAGTTCGGCAAGTCTGTATACTGTCGCCCTGCCTATTTAACGTATATGCAGAGCACATCATGAGAAAGGCGGGGCTGGATGAATCACCAGTTGGAATTAAGATTGCCGGGAGAAATATCAGCAACCTCAGATATGCAGATGATACCACTCTCATGGCAGAAAGTGAAGAGGAACTAAAGAGCCTCTTGATGCGGGTGAAGGAGGAGAGTGCAAAAGTTGGCCTGAAACTCAATATTAAGAAAACTAAGATCATGGCACCCAGTCCTCTCACTTCCTGGCAAATAGATGGGGAAGAAATGGAGGTAGTGACAGATTTTATTTTCCTGGGCTCCAAGATCACCACAGATGGGGACTGCAGCCAAGAAATTAAAAGACGCTTGCTCCTGGGGAGGAGAGCCATGGCAAATCTAGATAGCATACTAAAAAGCAGAGACATCACGCTGCCAACAAAAGTGTGCTCATGACATGCCTTCCATATTGTAGATAGAGCCATTATGATGACATTGTTTGTTTGTTTGTTTTTTAAATTTTATTATAAGCTGCTTAATGAGCCATCTGAGTCACAATTTTGAAGGGGGAATCATAAATATGAGAAATAGGGTAAATTTCTAAAGGGTCATAATGGACCACTTATAACCATTCTATATTTTACAGATGCACATATGAATATGTTCTGCTTCACTTACTCTTTCTCTGTCACAATGTAGCCATATTCCTCTTCTTTAGAAGATTTTGCATCTAGCTGTAGGTCTTCTCCCATCTTTTCCTCAGTTTCTTCATAAGTATTTTCATTCTGAATCAAAGTATTCATAATCCACTGATGAAGTTCAGTCCGCTCTTTAGAGCTAGGTTCTGACCCAGCTTTCTTCTGAGCTACTAGCTCTCTTGAGAATGTTTTGCTCTTCACATTTTCAATCCCAGTCTTCACTTCTTCAGAGGAAGACAAGGAAAGATCTAAATCCTCTGACTTCTTCCTTTCTATTTTAAAGGGGTCTTTCGGAAAAGTCTCCTTAGGTGAAGTTGCCATATTTTCATTCACAAAATCAAATTGTTCTGTATTCAAATGATTTCCCTATAATAAAGATATCACAGTGAATATTTCTAGTTTTTAGGATTAATTAATAAGAAACTTGTATGTAGTCCATGGATTCAACCCTATAAATCTCACAGGATCCTGGTGCTATCCAAGTACATGAATACATATTGAAAGTATATTATTGCCCATTTATTAAAGATGAAAACTAGAAATCAGTTTAGCCTGCCCTTGAGTGTAGCTTCTGACAGTGGTAAAGAAATTACATCTGTATTTTTCCTCAAAACTGCTACCTCCTTAAAATTTATGAATCTCATTCTTTCATGGGACTCCATATTTTGGAATATGTGGGAACATTTAGTTATAACTTCCAATGAAACATAAAACATTAATTTAAAAGAATCTACACAAACAAGCTATGCAATGCCTATTTTATTAATGCTTAATTGTACAGCATCTGTAACTCATGAATATCTCTCCAGCACCCAGTTTTTTTTACTGCTGGAAGACAATGGTATCTTCAAAATATCCAGCCCATGGTGAATTTGGAGTCTGGAAGGACAGAACATTTCATGGGGATGGTGGGTGGGGAATGGAGAAGTAGTCATGGCAATAAAACTTCCTCAGAGAAAAAGGAAAGCTTCAGTATGTCCTGATCAATACAATAAATACTCTTGAGTCCCCCACACACTTCTCATATACTTCAAATAAGTTCCAGTTTTGGGAATCCAAATTACACAATCTCATGGCAAAATTTACAGTTTCAGCTATTTTGGGGGCAAAATTAATTACTATTTTATTAGGATTTGGGCACCACCTTGTAGGATGAAAAATAGTTCTGGATATGACCCAAGAAATTTAGCTTAATGCAAGCAGTATGCAGCAGTTTAAGGCAAAACACATCCACCTGGTTTAGAAAGAGTGTATTACACCTTTATGAGTGTAGCCTTGCTATCTACAATAATATCTATTTTTTAAAGTTTTGTAAGTTGTGAAACAATAAGCTTAATGGCTACAAACAAAACCAAAAGTATTTAAAAGCACTTACATCTTTGTTGGATTACTGCCCTGGTATTCCTAACTGAATGTTTAATAATAGGTACACTCAACCATTTCATTATATTTATTATATTTTACGACCATTAGATTCGGCTGGTAGTTTGTGGATATTTATATTTCAAGTTGCAACTTACCTCCTCTTTGATCCTAGTATTTTCATCCTGGGCTCTCTCATCTGTGGAAACATTGAACAAGCACTTCTTGTGATGCATAGAACATTATATTTAATGCTGACACTGTTCTACTTTTCTATAGATTGTGTTCTTTTTACTGTACATTAAACATTATGATCTTGTAGCTGAAAGGCGAAAGTAAAATCATAGATCTGGTTTGTCACTTTGACTCCATTTAGACAACTTGCTAATGGAAGATCAATGGACGTAGTACTGTAAGAGTGCATTATATTAATTAGTTCAATAGTATGGCTGATGAATTTACCTCTGTTTACCAGCACCTTAAAAAGAATCAATACCTTGTCATCTGCTAGTTCAGAAAAGATGTTTACAGTAATAAATGAGGAATGGCAATGCTCAGGCACTGTTCAGGAAAAATGAGATGATTTGTCTTCTGATAGTCTTTTATGTTAACAGAAGAAATAATGATTTCTATGCCACAGTTACCACACATCAATACATATAGAGATATTGAATTATGTCTCTTAGGGTATGGCCATGAAACTTTGTGATATGGAAGTGTGATAAACCTGATATTTTATATACTTCTGTCACATCTGATAGGTTCAAATCTCATGTTGATATCTGTACAAAAATTTACAACAATTAGCTCATGTTTCTGTCTTTGACTTCCACATAGAAATCTACATGTGGAGTAATGTCCAGTCTACATATTCCTGACATGTTTGTGGCTACTGAATCAATGAACAAAGTAGGCTGTTTGCAAGAACTGGTAGAAAACCATGGGTTAGTAAACTCATGATTTGCCATGGTTGAGCATGTTCCTTCAGATTTCGGAATATTCAATCCTTGATCATGCTAATCAGGATTGCTACATGTCATCCAAACCCTGATACTGTTGGTTAATCATGGCTTAAGCAACCCACAGTTAACTACTAATGGCTGGCTAATTCTGGGTTATTTAACCCACCATTAACTTATAGTGTCCAGGTTTGAACATGAAATAGCAACCCCCAACTGGAGGTGGGATATTCAAAAATAACAACAGAATACTGCAGCAACTGTAGGTTAATTAACCCACAATTATGTCCTTTTAACTTTGTAAATGGCCCAGAAAGCTATTGGGTGGTAGAGAAATGAAATAAATAAATAAATAAAATTTGCTGCCCAATCATCAGTTCTAAGAGTAGGAAGATGAAATAGAATACAGCACATAGAACACTTTTAATAGATGGTACCTCTTTACAAGACTTGTGGATCATCAGCTCTCAAACAAAGTACTGTATCTGCTGTACTTTTATTGAGTGGATTAATTAAGGAAATAAAATAAATATGAAATTATTCTGAAAGATAGTGGTGTGGATCCAGACTTAGGAGATCAATGGGACCTACATTATCTAGAATGAATCCAATGTTTTCTGTCAACAGAACATATACAAATCCAAATTATATTGGCAGATGATCTTAAATGAATGCCTAATTCAAATGCTGCACCCAAATACTCGTTACAAGAGTATTATCTTAGGTTTCCATTTTTTTAAACCACTTGCTGATTTCCTTAAGTGTGCTCCCCAGGTAGTTTCATAATGGTGACTGACCAATATCTTACTGGAATGTGCATCCACTGGAGGAATCAGTGGACAGAAGGAAGGAGCACTAAACCCTTCCTTTGTCCAACAGTTCTCCCCTGCAGGACACTGCTGAACCCTCACATTCCTATTATCTCTGCAAACATGGAATTGGGAGCATGTGCTTGCAGATATAATATCTAATTCTGCTCTTAGTAAAAAACATCAGAGCTACTCACTCTTGAATTTGCTGCTGACTATTTTAGCATAACAGCTCATTCAGAGTGGCTTCAGATATAATAACTTTGCAAAACAAACAGGACATACTGCATCACATGCTTCCTATGCCCCTGCAGTGCTGTCTCATATGAAATGAAAATACTATATTCCCCCAGGCTGGAATTTAGAAGCTGATTTTCTATACATTTATAATGAAATGAATTATTTTATATCTGCAAGCTCCCAATGTGCATTGTCTGGAGAGGGAAATGTGAACATTTAGCAAAATATGGTTCTGAATAGTTTTACACTGGAGGAGCAATTTGCGCTCACCTAATTATCAGGATCAAGTTGCAATTGACTGGTAGCACCTTCCCACTCTCTGACAACAGTGTAACCATGGTGGGGGGAAACTGAAGCCAGCCATAAGGTAGGATGTGTTGTTGGCAAGCAGTTGTGAGAGTGAGGCAGAGAGCAAGCCATGGGTGGGTAAGGTTTTCCCCTTTGCAGGGTTCTTTTTATATCTGATTCCTTTAGAGAATAAAAGTGACCATGTTCAATACACTACCTTGCATGTGATAACCTTCACTCATTAATCCCATCTCATAATCATCTTTTCCTTCTGCATCCATTCCCTTTTCTGTTTTCTCTCCTTCAACCTTCCCAGCGGCATTTTTCTTTTCTTCATCTGTATCAACACCTTGAATAGCATCAGCAATAATATCAGCCATCTCATCCAGCTCCAGTGGGCTCAACTTATCTACATCCACATGATGTTTCTTCAGGTCCCTCAGAACATCTTGAATAAGTATTTCTTAGGAAGAGAGAAAAAAAAATGATTACACATAAAAAGCCTAATGCTGTGTGCAAAAAAGAGAAACAAAGCATTGGGGGTCTAAGCTTCAGTCCTCAGTAGGAAATATTTAATTATCTAAAAATCCTGACTACTGTATTCAGTGCTAATCTGTATTCATAAATATATGCTTAAAATAGTTTTCTCAGTCAAATGTTTATTGAACTGATTCAATTTTATTAATTAATGGGATTAATGTTCTTACAGAAACCAGTAATTACAGCATTTCTCTCACTGGACAAACTATGCCTGCTGGAACCACTGAAGTGTTGGTGAAAAATGTCCATTGGTAAATAGTCCCATAACAATATGGTTTATAGAGGTACACTTGTATCTCTGGAACAAAATTATTGCATTTAGTTTATCACTTAAATGTTTTTCTTACCCTATATATAGACTTTAAGAAATTACTCTGTAATACTATACTGCATCTGTACAATTATAGAAATCAGTTATATGCAAGCTTAGTGTTGTTAATATATAGTAAAAAGTAGAATGTAATATCAGTATTACATATAAATAATATGGACAAACAGTGTGTAGTATGCTGACAAAAATAAATGGAATGCAAGTATTCAGAGCTGTGTTTGTGAGAGAGAATGTGCGTATGGGTTATATACTCAGAAAAATTAATAAACATGTATCATCCTCATGGAATCCTAAATTGCTGATATTAATATATCTGACCCATTCAGCAAAGGACTTACTTGAAGGGAAAAGCAGTGGAAATATCTCCAAGTATTATGGTCCAGTCACTTGGTGTGCCTTGAATAGTGACAATGAGCTAAAAGAATCTATTTCCAAAGTCTCAAAGCTTACCATTCTGCCTGGCACAATTTCCCAAGGAAAGATTCTCACAGATCTCTCCAAAAAGTGGGCTGCCAGTTTCCAAACTCAGGCCATCTAAAGCGACACAACCAAAGTTCCAGCATATCATCCAACCAATTACCTCTGACTGTCTACTACAAGTGTGGAGGCAAGAATCCACTTATAGATAAAGTCATTTTAACTTAACACTACAATTTCCAGTCACCATCAGGCTTGCCCACTAGATTTGGGGCCACATTGCTACTATGTATTCTGCAGTATTTATCACCCCAAGACTAAACAACCAGTGGCAATTCCCAGTCAGTACAAATATGGCCCTTTACTCCTTCCTTCCTTTCTCTCTTTCTATATTAGTTACTTATTTTCGGTTGGGATTCTCTAGCACTGCCTTGTTTTCTTTTGTGGTAGGTTAGCTGCTGCGATCTGGGATACCAGAAGTCAGGGTGTGGAAGAGGAAAATGTAGGAGCAATAAGCCAGTTAGCTGTGATGGAGGAGATGCCCAAGAAACAAAAACTATCATGATTGGGTAGTTACAGTAGCATACCGTGCAGGTGCTAGAGGTATAAGGCAAGTTGAATGGATGTGGCACAGAAGGGGAGAGAGAGAGAGAATCGTGGACCTGGTGTGGAAGATTTTGCGGAACTGAGTAAAGCAAAGCATTCAAAATCAAGGACCAAGTGATTCTGTCAAAACTTGCCTTCCTCATGAGTGATCAGTGATATAGAAGGATGGAGAAGATACACTCCAAAATCCCTCCAGCTGAATCTGGTGCACAACATTGACATTTGACTGGGAGGTGGGGTGGGGGGAGAAAGGCCCCTAAGTGGCCTCATTGTTGGTGCCAAGAACCAAACGAGGTCCTGCTTGAAAAATAGTGAAGATCACTGCTATAGATTTTCCACATAAAGCTAGCCTAGGTGCTGCTAATTATGCTACCTATTAAACAGAAACGTTGTATCATGTCACCTTCACTTGGTGTTATAATCCAGACATCGAGTACCTGCTACCCAGCTGCCAAGTTAGGCTGACCAACCGAGGCCCAGGCAGGTACACACAGGTTCAAGCCAGATGGAACATGATGCTGGATCATGCAAAAACATAATTGCACAAAATATTCCCCTTACCTTTGTTTGTATAAGGCAATGAAACATTGCTTAATATCCACGATAAGGTAAATGGATAATTGTAATTTGAAGTATAACAACTTCATCTTTATCATTATCCGGAAATAAAAGGTAAGCATCTTCCCTTTTAACAAAAGTGCTGTTATTTCATTGAGGTTGTATGTTCACACTAAAATGCAATTTTTAACAAATCTGCATTATGTTGGCTTGTCTGGATAAAGAAGCCTTTCCAAATGAGAATGTTAGCTACGTCTTATTCTGATATGTCAGCTGTGAATAGAAAAAATGAAGTGAGTTTGTCAAGAATGCCAAAAAAAACATAAATGGAAGATGACATCCAAGGCAAGATGAGAAAAAGCAGATCAATTAGATTTCTTAGTAATATATTTTAAAAGAAAGTCAAGCAGACTTCTCAATTTTTATTAACAGAAGTTTAAAAGATAAAATATTAAAAATTACTGACAATAAAAATACAAAAAATAACTGCAGGAACCTGAAAAAATATAGACAAAAATGCTAAAATATCAGTGATAGACTGGGGGCATGTCAACTCCCCACTTCAACATCCTGTTAGAAATAACAGGAAACCACAATTTACTGAAGAGTCAAGACAAAATTAGAAGCTTTAGAGAACCAGGTGAAACCTTATATGTTAGGTATGGTAATCTAAGTCTTGCTGAGCTGGTAGTTGCAATATGACTTTTTGACCATCTCCAGCAGTAATGTGAAAGCAAGTAATGTGCAGGGCAGATACTGCCGCTAATAGGCACAGACAGTTAGGCACGTAAGTCCTGGTAAGAGAGTCCCCAGTTTAAGACCCCTCCAAATCCCTATGTGGCCTACACCAAACATTTGTAACGGGGCAGATATGATCCCAGTATAAAGAATGTCATAGTATCAATATTGCCATAAAGTTCCAATATGCAGAATGATCAAATACTAGTATTTGTTGGTTTCCCACTACCAGCAAAAATTCTGTTCAATACTTTCACTTCATGTGTAGCTATCCAAATAACCTGGAATGCTGAACAATAAACTGTTGGTATGACTTTAGTATTTCAGTTTTATTCACTGACAACTAATGTTTTTCTTTCATTCATTCTATCGGGCCTTATCTCTCCAGTTTCCTTCATCTGGTTCTATAGTCTATAGAAAGCACAGTTTCAGTCACAAGAAAAATGTATATAAGGAGAAAGAAATCAAACAGGAGACAATGAATAGCCAACGGCCAAACTCCAGAGTCTGCTAAAGGACTCTCAGCAGGTCTTTTAATAAAGTGAAGATAGAGAAGACATCTGCCTTCTCTGAAGTGTGTTGTTTGTCATTCTAGGCTCTCACTAGGATGCTGCCTGTCAAAGAAACACCTCCAGAAGATAGGTTTCTTGTTATAAATGACTGACATCTTAAGGAAAACTAGGCAAAAATACATAACACTGTTACCCAACAACCACTGTCCACAACAGTTAAAAAGTCAGGAAGAACCACAGACATAACTGGCAAGAATTTTGAAAGGCATGGAATATCCTGCATGTTAGAAGATACCTGAGAATAGAGAAACTGGGCTTGCTTGTTGACAGCAAGTGAATAAAAATATTTGCTTTGTGAACAGACTTTACAGAGAAAGAGACTCTTTGGAGTAATAAACCTACAGAACAAAAAGATATACGATGTTTTGTATGTTTGAATTCACAGTAGATGCTTAATGTTGCATCCGAAAATGGTAAAAACTTATTTCAGGATCCATTATCTTGAGATCTGCTACTAACAATGATATTCCTGAGAACACATTCTTATCTCATCCAGTCTTTATCCATAGTTGTATGGGTTACAGTGTAGTTTAGGGCTAGTAAGTTGCTCAAGATTATTCAGTGAAATTCCTTGTTCCTCTGGAGTTCATATAAAAGGAATGATAACGAAGAAATGCATGCTTTTTCACAACAGGGATCAGTACCAATAACACTGTTCATTGATGAAATAACTCGATCCAGTCCTGAATATAAACTCCTTGAAGGACTGTCAGGAATTAGTCATCATCTGACATCACAGACTCTACCAAGAAGCATCTTCTACATATATACCTATCCAGACCCTTAAATTATCTATGGAGGTCCTTCTCCATTACGTACCCCTGCAGGAAGTAAAGAGGGTGGCTGTAAGGGGCGGGGGGTTCTTGGCTGTGGTGGTCCATCTGTGGAATCAGATCTCCAGGGAAATGTGCCTGGCACTGACATTATGTATGTTCCACTGCCAGGTTAAAACTCTTGTTTTCTCACCATTTGAATTGCTGGTTATCTGGTTTTATATTGACTTTTAAATTGTTTAGTATATATGGAAAGTTGTCATTATGTATTGTACTGTATTGTTTATTGTTGTATATGCCTGATAAACTTTATTGTATAGAGGTGTCTTATGGTAGATGAGTCTGCTTTAAATTGTTTTAACTATTGTATTCTCTATATTTTAATTCACATTTTGTAAAGTGTTCAACTATTTTCAATTAGCTAATTGAAAAGTATAGAAATGCTTTAAATAAATAAATCAGAATCAAATTACAGCATTCTCAAGAGCTATCAGGCATCTTAAAAGACTTTTTAAAGACCATATTTCTTTTACTACAACATTTTACTTCCAAGGAATTCAGCACTGAGTCATCTGCCATGAAAGCTCTGCACATCTTTTATGGAACCTCTGGATGTTGCAACAGATTCTGAGGCATGTGCTGTAATTTATTTAAGGTGCAGTAGTTAAACCTGCTCAGTCCTACCATCACATAACTGATGCCCTAAAACACACTCCCCTTCTCCTGCAACTATAAACTCCATGGCAATAGCAATAGCAGTGAGTACACTGCCCTTGGGGAAAACTTGTCTGCCATTACTGGTTTTCTCATTAAGAAAACCTTTGATAAGCATCCAAAGAATTCCAGCATTTGCTGGAACCACTAATTACAGTTTAGAAAGCACCAATCAAGACTACTAGCTGAACACTCACACGAAGTTGATTTATACGGATTGCTTACCATCTACTGGAGTTAGAGGGACCCTCAAATCACTCTGGACAGAACTAGGTACCAATCCATATACAGGCCTCCGTGGGAAAGGTGACTTCATGTCAAAATCCCCTGTATTTTCTTTGGACACCATTCCATCAAGGTGGTCAATCTGAGGAAACTTGAGCTTGAGCCTACTGGTATAAGGGGTAGATTCTTTAGTCCTGCTAACAGATGAACTTCCATCAAGGTCTTTTGCTGCCATCTTCTGAGAAATGTATGCATTTAAGGCTGCCAGTAGAGCTTTTCTGTCAAAATCTTCTTCCGGCTTTAGTGGGAATGTATCTATCTGTGGTTGGCTAAAGGGTCTCACGGGAAATTTTTCAAAATATTTTGAATTAGCTGCTCCTGAATGGGTTAAAGCAGGTATTTTCCCCTTAGAGTTCTGTACCATGTAGTTGATTATGGTGTCAGATGGGATATCAATCTGGAAGAAAAAGGTAAGCTGTATTAGAATGACTGTTATTCTAACTCTTTGTAAAAAGCTGTAGAGAGGGGTCCCAGCTCTTGCACCTTACAGCCTGCTTGGAAAGATTCTGAGGAGGAGGGGCAGAGTAGGGCCCCTTTACAGTTTCAAGGTTTTCAAGTGAAGATTCTCAAGCAGAGCATGAGGACCAGCTCACCTTGCAAAAGAAGTGAGAATGTTCAGAGCTGGGGTTTGAGTAGATGGAGGGGAGTTCCTTGGGTCTGTCAGGTGATGACAGATAAAGCAGGTGAACTAATTAAGAAGTGTCCAGCATTCCTGCCATCTAGCCCTCAAGCAGCAGGGGCCACTCGGAGGGTGGACTAGAATATTTCTAAAACGAAGGGAAAGAAAGAATGTTTCTCTTTTGATTCCACTCTTTACATGGATAGATGCTTCTCTCACATCTCAAGGAGAACACTACTTTGATTTATATAAGATACACTCTATCAAAAGGATTTGCACTTCTAAGTTCTTGCCTAAGTCTGCTAGAAAAGGAAAAAGGAGAGGAGAGACCTGCTCATGACCAGACCCAGCAATGAAACTCCATTAGAATATATAGTAATGATGTTCCTGGTTTAACTACATGTTTATATGGGTACAAGGTAATCTACATTCATAGTACAAACCTGGATTCTACAATTTATGTCAAATATGTACATTTACATAGTTTTAGATATTTTGCACTCCTGTATAGAATCATTTTATTCTGTTTCTCCTCTGTATAGGGAGTAGTTACATACTGATCCATGCCTTAGGTTTCTGATATAATATCAGATATATTCCAGATACATCAAAGCCAATATTTGCATTCACAAGAGTTAGGAACTTTATCTTAAAAATGATTAAAGTCACAATTCACAAGTTCTTTCTAATTAGATAATACAAAGGATTCAAGTCCCATGGGACCCCATGAAAGTGAATAGGAGAGCAGTAGCCATACACATTATCATCATCTGGAGTTGCTCTGCTGTGAAGTGCAGGGCTTCATGATGAAAAGGCATCTGTACCTAGACTGAGCCCTAATACCAGACATGCTGTCCCTGCATACATAAAGATTCAGCTATGTGATCTGACAGTCATATATGTCCTTGAATGCACAAAAAATAAGAAAGAAATAAACTGGGTCCTACATATATTGTATATTGCAGATTCATTTTTGCAGAAAACAAATCATCACCATTAACATAACATTCTATAGATATGCATACAAGCGTGCACATAATGTAAGCCAGTTCTTGAAGTCTAAAAATAAGAGTTGTCAAACCTAGGGGACATAGACAGAGTTACACACCCTATTCTTCTTCCTGTGAGCACAAGCATTCATTCATAAATGCAGCTTTTTGGATCATCAACTACACACTCTGAAAACATGCACAAATTCAAAAAGCCAACAGTGCTGAAGAAAGCTATTACCATGTACAAAACTTTTTGCAAAGGTACACCCTGGGCAAATGAGGAAGGATTTTAAACACAGCTATTCAAAACACTAATATATCTGTGACTTCCCTGATTCCCTTGTAAACAAATAAGTCCATCAAGTAGAAGAACAATACAGAAACCTCAAGCAGTCTTATACAAATAGGGTACAAGTGTCAATCACAGACTAAGCTGGTATCAAGAGAAGACTGTCAGTCTCTCAGCAGCCTGACAGGTCAAAACTCTGGCAGCCTGCAATGCTATTCAAAAATTCCTAATTAAAAATATGATTCCAACAACAGTAAGCCTAGTTTGAAAGGATCCTTACTTTTGTTAGCCAGTCTAAAGACATAAGGATAGAAAAGTCTATACCCATATACAGCCTGAAGTTCCAATATTAACGTGAAAGCCACTATTGCCCATGATTCCCTATAAAAACATGGACTGTCATCACTCTATTCTTTGGCATCTCTGTGGCAAAAAGTCTACATTTTCTAATGGAAAATAGAGTAGAAGACCAATTCAATATTATACTAAAAGTGTCAACAAGGACTAATTGGAGTGTATTCCTTTGACTAACATTATCCACAAGTGAGCTTTCTAAAGAACACTGTTTTACTGTGAGTTTCTTCAGCTTATTAATGGATCAGAAATTCCTAGAGATAAACCAAATGCCATAGGCCATGGGATTTTGCTGGTGTATTTCCCACACTGTTGCCCAAGTGTCTCCCTGCCTGAGCTGCAGGAGACAGTCCTGGAAAATTATAACATCCACGCTGAATGTTCCAAGACTGTTGCTTAGGGACTATTCCTTGGGCCCATGGATGTTGGCCAATAGTGTTCCCCAGGGCTGTATCTTGTTCCCCATGCCTTTCAGTACATGAATTTGCTGGGGAAGGACAACCAGTTTGGAGTTGGCTCTCATCTCTGTGCTGACACCTAGTGTGTGCGCACTCTCGCTCTTGAATTGATGACTGGGTGTATATGTAAATTCTGAACTATTGTCTGGAAATAGTGAGAATATATGTGGATGAACAAACTGATACTCAATTCTGACTAAAAAGAGCTTATGTTAGTCAGTAGCCAAGTTGGATAAGGACTGGGATACTTCCCATTTCAGATGGAGTTGCAATCTTTCTGAAGGATCAGGTTGGCAGCTTGTGGGAGCTCTTCAACCCAGCACTGCTTCTGCTCAGGTAATTGCCTACCTTCAAGTAGTACAAAATTTTTGTTCATTCTTAAATAAGACTCACAGTAATCCATATATTTATCTCATTATTTGATTCTTGAAACAAACTGTATGAGAAGGTTTTAGAAATTAAGTTACAGCTAATGCAAAATGCAACAGCTGGACTCTTGCCTGGAATACATTTAACAATGGTCTTCTATGAACTAAACAGCTTGGAATGTGTTTGCAAGCCAAATTTAGGGTGCTGGTTCTTGCTTACAAAACCCTCAATGGATTGAGGGTTCTGTCTTCTTTTGTATGAAACTAACTGGAATTAACAATCTTCATTAGAAACCTTTTTGCATGTTACCCCACTAAGAGTCAAGCTAATGAATGCACAAGCTGCAGGTTCTTCTGCAGCACCACCCTACAAAATTCCCCTCCAAAGAGAACTAGATTAATGCTATCTACCTTGGTTTATGCAAACAGTAAAAACTGCTCCCCTTCTGGATGTACACCTTAATGTCGTGAGGGAGTTTGAGAGTGTCAGAGAAATCAAGAGCGATGTCAGCAAGATGCCAGATGGTTTAACTTGGCTGTGGTCCTATCACAGTCAAAGCTGAGACACAGTCAAAGAAGCATCCACCTTCATCAGGAGTAGCAGTCACATCAGCAGAGGAGAAAGTCCTGAAGACCAGCCACTGGACAGCAGTAGCAGTTGAAGGTGACACTGGCAGAGGGTTTTTCACAGACAATGGCAGTGATGCTTAAGCTAACTCCAGTTAGCACCCATGGTAAATTGCTTTTTTTCATTTCTTACCTCAAAAACCCTAGGATGAAACAATCCAAAATGGAACTAGAGATAGTGCCAAAAGTTGAGACCCTTCTTATAAGGTCAGACGCTACTGGGGAAGAGCAGAGGACAAGTACAAACAGCACTGTTGCTAATGATGCAAAAAGATCAAAGATGTTAGAAAGGAAGTCTAACAGCTGACAGGTACAGAGGCAAAATCAAAGTCCGATGCTGCACAGTGTATGCAACTGGAACATGAAATGTTCAGGCAACATACATGCATGTTCAGGCAACATGAAATGTTTCAGGCAAACCAGAAACTGTAAAGCAAGAAATGGAACTTTTAAACACTGCAGCACTTTGTGTGGGCAAACTAAGGAGGACTGGAATGTGTTTCACAAAGTGTTTTAACCTGAAAATAACAAACTCAGACAAAATTAAGTATCCCTAATACTGAGGCAAGATGTAGCTCAGGAAGTAAAGGGCTATAATACAAAGTCTGACCAAATCATATGAACTGGGATTTATGGAAAACCTATCAACCAATCTTTCAGATCTATGTTCCAACAATAAATCTTGAAAAAGAAATAGATAAATGTTATGCAGATGTTCAAGAGGTTTGGATGGCTGTACACATGAACATCAGATGGCAATTATAAAAATAAAATTGACTATTTATTTATTTATTATTTCAATTTGTATGCCTCTGCAATAGCTCATAGTTGAGCAGCCCAAGCAGCTTATAATGCTAAAAACAACATAAATTCTTAAGTCAATGCTACTAAAAACAATCTCAAAACATCAGTAATACAAAACATAACCAAACAAATTAAGATCATTCATAAAAATGAAGGAAGGTGCTCCTGGCCACCAACTGCACTTGGGACTCAGGTGAGAATTTTGGAAAGAGGCACACCCCCAGGCTGAGGACTCTGCTCTTAAGGGGGAACATGACCCCATCTAAGACAGGATATTGGCCATTAAACCCATCTGACAATCTGCCTACCAACTACACTTCCATCTTGTCTGGATGGCACTTCATTTTATTGGCCCTCATCCAGGCCATTATTGAGTCCAGGCACCAGTTTGGGATTGACACAGCCTGGATTTGAAGTAAAAGAGAGGTAGAGCTGAGTACAATCAGGATATTGCTGAGATTTCAGCCCATATCTCCAGATGACCATTCCCAACAATTTCAGGTAGATTTTGAAGAGTATAGGGGACAGTATACAGCCCTGCAGGTCCCCAAGGCATAATTGCTATGGAGCCGAGCAACTGTCCCCCAGGACTATTTTCTGGACCCACTCAGCCAGGTAGGAGTGGAACCACTACAAAGCAGTGCCTTTAACCCCCAACCCAGTCAGCCTGTCCAGAAGGACACCATGGTTGATGATGTTGAAACTTCTGAAAGGTCCAGGAGAATCAACAGGGTAGTGCTCCCCCCACCCCCCAGCAAAGGTTATTATACAGGGCAACCAAGGCTGTCTCTGTCCCAGAACCAGGCCTAAAACCTGATTGAAATGGATCTAGATAATCCATTTCCCCGAGAAGTGCCTGGAACTGCTTGGCCACCACCTGCTCTAA